GCATCTTTCTTTTGCACCTTTTTTTCAGATTTCCTCTAATATTTTAAACTCCATTTAGAAGTGGAGCTAACACAGTTGCCACTTCCCACAGAATTACATCCCTCCTCCAAAAAATAGAATTAAAAAAAGAGAGAGAGAAAAAAGAAAAAAAAACCACTGTGGCATTTGGACTGCAGGAAACCTCAGCTGATACATTGCAATCCCAAGTGGTAACATCTGTTCTTCCCATCCTGTGACCCTGCACAGTGCTGCCAGTGGACAACTTGTTCACTTCCCGCTGTACTGTAAGCTCCTTTTTTTTTTTGACCTTCTACACCCCATGCTACGCAAACCTGGCTCCTCTTCCTCCGCGGCCCTCCGGGTTCCCAGCCCCGCTTCACAGATCTAACTCCTCGTCCTTGTGGCTTTAGACCTTTTCTTCCTGAAGGGAGATGTTTCAAGCCGCATGCATGTGTGTGCTGGTGTGCATTTATGTCTGCTTACCTGCTGGTGCAGGCACTCATGTTAAAGCCAGGATCAAATTCACTTCATTTTCAAGCAGTCATGTGAACTTTAACCTAAGTCCTAGCAGTGAAAAGGAGCGTGTTCTGATGATATTCTTCTATTTGAAACCAAGGCGTTAGAGTCTCAGGGCAGAACATGCAGAACTGCTAAAGTAACAAATGTTTTTAAATATCAGCAATTCAGCTGACTCCGGTACTCCCATTAATACCTGTGCCCTGCAAAATGCTTTGCTATCACAAAAATATCACTAGAGGACAAGCTTTAAAGAAAGCTTATGAAAGATATCTCTCTAGCAGCAAAAGGATCAATACTTCTTGGAGATGTATGGAGGACAAGAGCTTGAGACCACAGTCTGAGATCTCATCAGCTGAGTAGGATAGAAGCCAAGAAGTCGGGTCCAGGGATCTTGGCACCATGCAACGAACACTGGGAAATTCAACCAACCCTTCACGTCAAGTTACCTACAAAAACAGCGCTACAAGTAATGTTCTGATCGAAGATGACACCCAGGATCAATATCTGTGAGCCCCTAGGTTCATAAGGCTACAACACTAAATTTGGGAAACACTGGTGAAAAAGGTAATGCATTAGATAATTTGGGTAAAATTAAATTACTCTAACTCAAAATAGCGAGCCTGAACGCCGTTAAGAGCCTTCACTCAATCTGCAAGAGAATAACGAAGAGCTCTTTTATCTCAGCTCTTTATGACGCTAACGCATCCCATTGCCATGACAGCTCCTTGCCTCGCTTGTCAGAACTAGTCCAGGGCAGGTGAGCGTGTCTCTGCTTCTGCTTCGTCCTCCTCTGTTTTTAGGTTAAGTAAAAAACTGTTAGGATGGTGAAATATAATCCTGGCTCAGAAGTAGAGATTGCAGAGCACAGATTAAAATGCGCATCATTTAAACACTCCAAGTCTTGAACAGCAGAGTGAAGAAACAGATCCACCCCTACGATTGCAGTTTGCATAGGGTCTTCTCTCTCTCTCTCTCTCTCTCTGTCCCCTCTGTACCCTCCCCTTTCTACTATGGTTTTAACAAGACAGAAATTCGAAAAGCAGATGGGAAATTACATTACCAGCTCAGATCAGGCTGCACGCCCTGCAGCGGCTCTGTACACAGAGGGAAAGACGGGGGCTGCAACCTCCATGGTGAGCAGCTGGGGTGGCACATCACAGTCCCAAGGCAGTGCCCCAGGAGAGAAGGGAGGAGTGAGGAGAGAGAAACCTCTTCCACCCGAGCGTCATGCCCAGCTTATGTCAGCAATGAATCAAGACAGAAAACATTTGAAGAAAAAAAGAACAAACCAAAAAAACAATCTCAGACTGTAGCTAGGAACACCTTCCCAGCAATCTGCTTACAGCGTCTTGGCTGTCATTTCTGAAGGAGCTAAATCTGTTCAGGGATTTCTAGCTTACAGTAGCTATGCCCACACGGTAAAAAATCACAGGTCTAGCTCACACTGCAACGTGAGTCAGCTAGTGGCGCGCCAGTGAGCTCTGCAGTCAGGGAGCGCGAGTGCTGTCCTGAAAGCTGCATTCAGCTGGGGGAGAGGAGAGAAAGAAGGCAAGCAACTTCATGTCAGGAAAAGACAGGAAAACACCCTTGGACCAGTTGCTCTTGGGGTCTGCAAGGACTTCCTAAAAGATTATCAGCAATAAGGCACATCTGCAATATGGATAAGCCATAATGAAGAGAACTCACTGACTCCTGGCAGTGGCTCCTTAGCAACCTGTGCTACACCTACCCTTGCAGAGGAGCGATGGGTTCGTGGGTATAGACAAGAGCCAAAATAATGGGAATTGTCAAGCTATACCATGTAACAACTCACTGGAGAAGACAAGGTCAAATAAGCCTGTCTTTGCTGTCACCTCCGGGCTAAGAGCTGTTTTGCAAAAGAGCTTGTACTATACCCTGGCTAAGGCCAGACTGCCCTCAGCATGGTTCCCCCAGTTAAATACCAGCTGCTTACAGGGCACCAGGCTGCATTCGGTTCCCACTGACAGGGAGAGAAACGGGAATAAACGCCTTGCCACTAGTTTGCAAGCTGTCTGGGGGGAGGATCTTGTTATTCCAGACCATGGGCTCTTCGTGGCAGAATCTGCTCCGCGTCTGTGTCTCGTACAGCAGGAGCACAACGCTGGCGCTCAAGTAGAAGCCTGGAACGATTTGCCATTAGCGCAGTAACACGTACTCTCACAACACAGTAAAATAATAATTCACGCCAGACTAGAAGGTTTATCACTCGCTTATTTGAATTACACAGAAGACGACTCTTGGAGACCCCTCTGAGCACAGCTCACAGTGATATACATGGTTAACTCGGGCAGGATTTGCTGTTTGTTATTAAATTAATAAAAAGATCATAACAATCTCCACTGCAACATTTGCTGCCAACGAGCCAACTACCAAAAGGTGGTCCACAACCAAGGGTCCACAACCAAGGGTCCACAACCAAGGGTCCACAACCAAGTCATATCTGTGAGAGCTCTCAATCTTTTCAATAAATTCATGCATCTCTTCAGGATCCCAGGAGTTTGTCAGGGTTACAGAGGCATGGCTATGGAAGCAGAACTACCTCATCTAAGTGATTACACAAGGATATCTACATGCATCAGCCTCTAGGCCAAAAAAAATCCTAGGTATTACCGTACATCCTGTATAATGTTTTACTGCCCTTCTTGAACTGAAAATAAAAGCAAAACTAACAACCACAGATCTGCGGTGTGATATACTGCAGAGTAACGACAACCTAAAACAAGTTCTTAGTGTCACATGAATGCAATTAAAAAAAAAAATCTGCAGCAGTAGGTATTAGCTCAAATACTACTACAAGCTTTGCAGCAAAGGCACTTTATCAAATCATCAGAGCTGACAACACATTAGAGAACAGCTTCTACCCTCCCTAACAATGTAATGTGATCAATACTCCGAGAGCTTCTGATAGTGCTGGATGACAGATGACAGTTAACTCTATTTTAACATCAAAGAAAACTCACATGCAAGACCTTGCTATTGGGGTTACAAGTGTACACAGGCAATAAAGGAGAAGATAACTTAAAATTGTTTTAAAGTAACTTCTTGACTCCACAAAACATCTCATATGATAACAGAAAACAAAGACACAGGGCTTAAAGAGAAAAGTAAACAGCCCAGGTCTCTCAAGTGTGGATGGACTGTAAAACTGCCTCTTTCCCAAGGTTCATCCAGGCGCCCCCTCTCATTAAGCTGTCTACGTGCAAAGAGCAGCATCTTCCTGCATCCACCCCAGTTTGCACAGTGTAAAACTACCTGGATAGCCCTCATAAAAAAACATGCAGAGCCCACAAATGCTGCAAAAGGGAGAACCTGTATCACATCACCTTCAGCTAGTGCCATACGCAAGTATTTAAAACTGCAGAAGTCGCAACAACCAACCCTGGCTACAGACCGTAGCACCTTTGTTGCCTCTCTCTTGTCTACAAACCAGCATCTTAGCTCCTTGCTATTTGCTTTAATTACCTTTTCATTATTTGCTTGTATTACTAGCGAGAGAGGGAGCAGAGAGAGGGAGCAGAGAGAGGGAGCAGAGAGAGGGAGCAGAGAGAGGGAGCAAGAGAGGGTGCGAGAGAGGGAGCGGGAGAGGGAGCTAGAGAGGGAGCGAGAGAGGGAGCGAGAGAGGGAGCGAGAGAGGGAGCGAGAGAGGGAGCAAAGAGTGATTTCCTGCATATGGGGACTCTGAACTACAAGAAGAAACTCACTGTCAGGTGGGTCGAGCCTTGTGATCCGATTAAAATTCTGGAGGGTTACAACTGGGGTCTGGCCACCACGGCATGGTATTCTCTAGTGGAAATAATTTTAGGCGATATACTTTTCAAAGAGTGATTGGCACAGGAAATTACCATAGGAATGGGCAGAAATTGGCTCTGTAGCATGACACACCAATCTCACTTCCAACTTTCTCCCAGTGAAAAGACTGCAAACTGCAAAAATGAGTCAGAAGGCCAACTCAGCACTTTTCAAATCAGCTCTTCACTTGGGCTGTAAGTCATACAACTTAACACTGTTGATCCAGATCTTGCAGGTACTGCCTCCTCATGCACTGTACAACTGTAGAACTAGCCAGTGACTGGTAAATTAACATTTGCTGTATCTCACTGTACAGTCTACAGTCTTCCTTGACGGATCAGTATGAGTCTTTTTTGGCAAGAGGATTCCCATATTTTAAGCCATGAACATTAAGGAAATCAGAGTAAGATCACGCGCTCAAGTCCCAGGCAGCACTGGCGTGCCAGGAGTCTGGCTGGGCACAGAGAGTCTTTACGTTTAGAAGCTGCTCATTTTAACAATGTGGGAAATTCTTAGGCGTACAACGGAAATGAGATCCCATAGCAAAACAGCGGCATCGGACACTAGGTTAATAGCATTGTCTTCCACAACCATGCGGGTGACTTTGTTCCAATTGCCAAATAACTGCACTGGCAATGCTCAGTTTTGGACAGAAAAGCAGCCCTCTCTCTGAGCTCTTGGAGAACACCCAAGTCTTTTCTGCAGTGGGAAAACATTCATAAAACAGGGGCAGCGGGGAAGGAATGGACATAAAAAGGGAGGATAAACGAGGAAAATTTGGAAGGCCTAGTGCCCCAGAGTTTCACATTCAGGTAAAGAGAAGTAAACTGTTCTCACTACAGTAATGAAGGTCCCGCACGTTGCCAGTTCCTCTAGGCCTGGACCATTCCAGGCTCCCACAGTCACTCACTGCCTACTGGAGGACTGACACTTCCTTTCCATGCCTTTGACACTGACCGTGAATGATTTTGACCCCAAACGAGCAAGGGCCTTACCTTGCGGTCACCATTACGTAGTGGTCATCAGAAGGATGACAACTGCAAGGAAAGGGAAGGGTAAAAAACAAACAAATAAATCCCAAAACAAAACACTAACACAAGCACTTGCTTACTGTGTTTGTTCTTCTTCTCTGGCAGAGGTGGTGGCTTCTCTGGGTCACTGGTAGAATCTGGAGCAGCAAAGTCAGTAATGAATTCAGCTGGTGCCGAGGAGTTTCCTTGCTGGAAAGGCAAAACAGCAGCAAACGGTGTGAAGGGTACTGACGTGACAGGCCCCACGTGCTGCACATCATCCTCCGAGATGTTATCATACTGTGAAGGATGCCTCTCATACGAGACCCTGCAGCCCGTGTTATCTGAAGTCTGTGAGGCTGCACTCCTCCTCTTCTTTTCCGGTAAAGCTGGAGGAGTGTCCGTTGGCTGCGCTGCTCCCGTCAGGCTGCAGAACTCCAGTGGAGGAGAGCTGCCCTGTGGGAGCTGGAAAGCTTGTCCATGAAAAGGGGAACCAGACTCGCCCAAGGACTCTGGCAACGGGCTGAGGATACCAGGCACCTGCTGAGGTATCTGATCAGCATTCGAGAGGTCTTGCTGCAGGAATTCATAGTCTGGATCATAGTGATCTGATTGATCTGGTTAAACAGAGAGGACAGGGGAACCACGCATTAGTTTCTCTCTCCTACTGCTCAGCCCTTCTCAGTTCTGCCCCTCCCACTCCATCAGATAATTTCCAGTTATTTAATCAGTTAATTTAATCAGAGTGGCATTTCCTTGCAGCAGGGACCGTCTTGCTGCATCTTCTGGAAAGTTGAGATTAAAAAAAAGAAACCAATATACAAAAAACTAAATCGTATCTTTATTTCTTTAGATTAATAAACAAATAGCAAGAATTCAAGTCATTGGAAAGGTTATTTATGCTTTGTATTCATATTTTTGTTTTATTTCCCAGCACCTAGAAACAATGTTGCTTTAGTCTAACAGGACTGACATGTTCTACTGATGTCTGCAGACAAGGCTGAAATCAGCAAAATATCCAACCTGAGATATGAACCGAGTTGGAACACAATCATCTATAGCTAGAGAAACAAATCCCCTTGGGCCTTTTCCTATCCAACAGGATATAATTCTTATAGAACCGCCTGCAGTAACTGCAGGAAAACAGTTGCAAGGTCAAGCCATTTACCTCTGGATCACAGCTCTGAAAGCTCCCAAACTTGCGCAATGTGGGTTCCTCCAGTGGCCCTGGACCATCCCCTGCTTACCTAAAGTTTCACAGCTTGTGTTGCGGGAGCACTGACCACTGTCACGGTCCAGAGAAGAGAGCTGCTCATCAGACTTGCTGAGTTTGCCAATGCTACTGCATGGTGAGAGGCGAGGAGATTCCCCCCCGTAGGAGTGGCTTCCACCCGACAGCCTTCTCTGGGCATAGCAGTCAACATCAAAATCCTTAAGCAAAAAAAAAAAAAAAAATCATTCTTCACAGCTTGCTAGCAAATTAGACACAGCTGAAGAGAACACCTCCTCACAGCTGTGTTAAGACAGAAAGGAAAGGTGTCAGTGCTACCAGTCCTCTCCAGTTAGACAAGCCCATCAGCACCAGAGAAAACCTCTGATGTGGTGAAGGGCAGAAGACAAGGCAAGCACAGGACAGCAGAGCTCTGCGTGCGCTTGCTCCAGAGAGGCTGTGCTGTGATCCAAAGCTGACTTCACAGACTGCTGAAAAGATGACCGAGTTCTTCACCACTATATGCATCTGAGGACTGCTTGTCATGACAGTGATAGCAATAATTAGACTGCCAGATTTCTCACTAAATAACTGTGGCTTTGCTGAATATTTAATTAGCTTAGGTATATGCAAAGGGTTAAATATAAACTACAGTGAGATACAGCTAATGGCAGCTTTTTATGCCTATGGCTATGTTTTCATTTCAGAAATTACCTCAAGTTCATCAACACGTGGGTGAACATCTCAAGTGTTCCCACTCCCACAAAACAATGTGTCAGTGTACCGGTTACTGGAAAATTGTCATAACTTTATCTGGATCAGCCAATTGACAGTAGATGACCCCTAAGCGAGAGTCAAGGTTTGGGGATGAGGACAAGATTTGATTTTGGTGCAATGTAAATTATGATTCAAGTCCTCACTGCAGAGTTAATAAGTTCCTATAGGCCAAAAAAAAAAAAAATTATAGCACTCTAAAGCCTAGATTAGTAAGAGTGATGGAATGTGACTAGTATCTGCAGTCCCAAATTTCCCATTTTTCCTCTAGAAAATTTACAAGTTTCCCCCGAGTACCAGAGTAGTTGCTCAAACTACTGCTTAGGTTAAATGATGTTTTAAATTGTGACTAGATGAATAAGTAATTCTGATCTCAATGTGCTACACGATCCTTGGCCTACAAGTGAACCTTGGTAAGGTCTTGGTTAAGTTCAGCCTACTGCTCTATATCTTGATCTGTTCAACACAGCAGTACTCATCCCCTCAGATCTTCGCATTCTGTTACAGCTCAAGGCAACAAAATTTGTAGCAATTTGTTATTTAAATCCAAGAGCAGTGGAAAAAAAAATTAAGATATTCATGTTATTTATTATACAAAGGTTCAGGCCACTAAAACACCCATTGCAGAATTGCTCTTAATACAAGGTTGCTTGGGAAGAGCAGAGGCACGCTGGGAACTGCACAGCTGCAGGTTGCAGCATTTCTCTGAGCTTTTGCTACCTTCCACAAGATGTTTCCTCTGGCTTTCACAAAGGGGTTATGCCATTACCTGTCTGTTGATTCCCACAGGTAAACTGGACCCACTGGTGGCTCGACTCATGGGGGCCACAACCGCCACTCTGGTTGGGGAAGGTGCTGACTGCCGTTTTTTAGGGGGCAATGCTGGAGGAGGGCTGCAAGACACAACAGGCATCGATACTTCTAACACTCCGGGAGCAGAAAGACATTTAGAGGCCTCGTGAGCTGGAAGACAAGCTTCTGCCAGGCTCAAAGCTCACAGCTTCTCGTCTGGAGCTCGCCATGAACCACTGAAAGGGTATTCGTTAGCAAACATCAATTTAAGAGTGCTGAAAACCCTCACGGGAAAGGTGCTGTTCAATGATCCTTTTTTTAAGCTTAGAAAAAAGTTGATATTTCCAAAACAAAAATTGCTGTTTTAAAAATTATTTTAATGAAGCTAATTAGCACAATAATTATTTTTAAATAAAAGTGGTCAAAGTCCAAATTCAATGCTTTGGTTGAGCTGCAAATCGTTTCAGTTCACAGAAGTTCCTCCTCCCCAAACTTTCCACCTTTGAAAAACGTTCAAAGTTTCAAAAATTCACAGGACAGGAAAATGCTCTTTCTGCCCTTTTGCATTCCTGGCGAACTTCAGAGAGACAAGATGGTCAGCATTGGTCTCACCAGGTCTACTGGGTGGGCCAACGTTTTGCACAAATCGGTTTCAGATATACACAGTATTGTACACACATTATCACTAACTAATGAGATTTTAACACTGAACATTAGTTTACAGTCCTAATGACACATAATTCTGACAATCATCAAGCCTGCAAGGTTCCCAAGAGCACATATATTCTGTTCCTGAAACATAGCAGGAAGTTTTTATATAGCTCATGAGAATTCATAAAATACATAGAAACGTGATTCTTTTTGCCAACCACAGCCCTCAATGCCACATTTCCAAATCATCATGATATGCATTTTCACACCACCCATTAGCACCACTGCTAGAGGAAAAAAAAAAAAATCATATGCAGAGACCAAAAAGCTGTAAGTAGGGGATTTTCTCTCTCTTCTCAAAATAGAACACAAACTTTCATGTGGTTACTAGTAGAACAGAGTAAGAACAACCAAGTACAAGATACTTTTCATGCATCGTTAATTCTTTTCACTCTTAAGCTGATAACCAACGCAGAGCTAGCTGGATGCATGGGATAGATCGGTAATTGCCAGCTGAAGCTCACAGAACTTTTCAGGATGGATACAACAGCCAGCGATGCAAGCAAAACAGCAAAGATAGTGTTGTATAGCGTTACGTAAGGCTCTTATGTGTTTCTGTGATGCCCCTCATCCAAGAATCTCAGGGCATTGCGCTATCCTCACATAAAAAACAAGGAAAGGAAAAAACAGACAATGAAGAAAACTGCTGCAACAAGGCAGAAAGCATGTAAAGTTGTAGGTAAATGGATTTCCAGGAGCGAGGAAGAATTACTCTGGAGGACAGGGAATTCAGAGCCATTGCTATCTCATATAAGGAGCTCTCTTGCGTACACTTTGCTACTTCGTCTAAAACGACAAGAAGCCGGTAAGAACCACTCGCGTTCTTCAGTCTGCTGGTTTGCCAGTATTACCTGTTTTCTGCCACACGAATGCAAGGCAGGGGGGGTTTAGGAGGTGCAACCTCTTCATCCATGGAGTCAGTCAGTAGCTCATTGGATTGAGTCATATTAGTTGTCTTGTTGAGGATTTCCATTTCTCGGTCTGTAAGTGGAAGTTCTGATGGGCTGCAAAGAGCAAAATACAGAATGTAGATCATAAAAAAACCAGTTCATCTGTCAGCATGCTGTGTTCCAATACATTTTTTAATCACATATAATGCAAGAGAAACCTATAGCAGAGCACAGAATTCACATCTGCAAGGACAATTCCATGTCTACCCAGAATACAATGTGCAAGTGCCATGGCCAAGTGATTTTTCATTGCCCGATTGTGGCATCTTTCCTATCATAGCACATTGTTCTCTTCAAGTGGTCTCACTGTAATCCATAAGGCTAGGTAAGAAGTACTATGCTATCCACTGTGAATGACTGAATGATTTAATTCAACTAGCAGCAGCCAGAAATTATCCCCATTAAGCTATTGTATTAGGCCTGCATGCACAAGAAATATTTGTCAGTGAACCCACCTGTCAGATTTACATGCTGGTAGACTGGGTTTAACTGGGCTTGTGGGAGAGGGATGCTCCTGCTTTTCAATCGTGAGTCTGACCAGCTCCTAGCGGAGGGAGGAGAGAAGAAAAGAATCAGTATTTGCTAAGAGTTCCGCACTAACACCATAGGACAGAAAGGGGTGCTACTGCAATCAACTCCCAGTTACCCAGGTTATGGCTTATTGATAACACATGGACACAGGGACAGCTGAGCTGGGTATAAGTTAGGTACAGAGCCATGCAAATGATGCTGTACTGTTTCTAAGGAGCAGTAGTTGGATCCAGCAGTAGTTCAGCCATATTCAAGTTAAGTTCATAAGCCCTGGCCCTATGGGGAACCTGCACAAACCCACACAGGTGGGTTTTTGCCACGTTTCCCTTCTCTTCCACCATCACAGATGTGTTCCAGTCTCCACAATACCCTTGGTAAGGACAAATTGACTTTGCATGCATAAATAAGTGGAGAAATGCCTTATACAATGAATGACATCATCTAGCCAGTAGAAGTGTTAAATAATTGTTTTATATTTTATAAGCAAGTATTTATGTCATGTATTTACATCAAAAAGCAGGTTTGTTGTAATATCCTCACTAGGATGAACACCTTTATTAGAAGGCCTGCTTCCCTTGAGGCCATTTTTTTTTTTTTAACATGTTAGCAATGGAAGTCTTAATCATTCAGGGAACTATTGTGATGTACCTGCTATAGGCGGACAAGATTGTGGATAAAGAGATAAGGGCATGATAATCCTGAACTACAAGTCTGCTAGCAGTCAAAACAACAATCATTCACGTCAGAAGGACGGAGAGAACATTTTACAGACGTCTGAGGCCGACAAATAGATCCGCTGCTCCTAGCTATAAACACGTGCCCTCTTACAGTCAGGCTGGATAACTGGCAGTGCTTCCTGACAGTATCAGCTTTCCGGTGCATTATGCAAAGGAAGCCCCATAAGGTCTTTATTTATTTATTTTTTTAAGCGGCCTGAAGTACAGCGTCATCATGCCAGTATCATTGTCACATCCAAGTCTACTGATCTGAGAAACAACTGTCATTGCCTCTTTAAGTGCAATAATTGTAACGGGAATGTCATCATCATCCTTCTGAGGGGGAGAAATACTCTAGAAACATATTTTTATAGATGGCTCTATTCAAAGCTGAACTTCCATGCATGTTCAACAAGAGGAACAGTGTATTGCACTGGATGTGCCAAGGACGGAAAACTGCATCCCATTTCAAGAAGTCAGAGTGTCCACACAGCCGATATCGGTTCAAACATCACGTTTACATTCTTGGTGCAAGCTGTACTCCAAAATAACTCGCATCACGTCAACCAAGAACACGACATAACACGCAGCTTTAAAGAAGTGGTCCTGGAAAATCCCACACGGAGGGAAGGAAGAGAGCGCACAGAAAGTGTATATGTCCATTTGGGCTAACGCTATAAAGCGGTTCCTATGCGGGACAGACACAAGAACCCTCGTAAGAAACAGAGGGTTCTGCGAGAAGCGTCCTGATGAAAGAAGCCTAGCGTTAAGCTGGCCACAGCTGACCACTCATCCAATTCTCACCTTCAAACAGAGCTGGCCATGTCTGTCCATGGGTAAAAAATGCCATGGGCAGCGACAGACCTATACGGACACAACGAATTGCCACCTTCCTGCCTTCTGGATAAAATGTGACGACTAAAGAGGCTGCTGGAGAGACTCTCATACACTTCAACAGACTTTGCATGGCACCTTGCAGGGCTATCAGGTACTCCTTGAGCAAGGACAGTGACTCCATGCACGCATAAAAGCGGAGCAGATGAAATAAAATACAAACAAAAGCCAAAATACTCCTCAGATGCTTCCCCCTACTGGAAAGGGCTATGGAAAGGAAAGGTCAAGTTTTGATGAATGCCACCAGATTCCCTGGTCCCCTACTTTTCTCCTCCTCTCCACTAACCCCAGAATGAGAACCAAGGTTTGGGGGGAAAAAAAAAAAAAAAAAATCAAACCAAGATCTTTAGTGTATATACAGAGGTTATCAGCACACAACTGTGCCAGATGCACATTATGCTATTCCTCATCAGCAAGGAAAGAGATTCCTGCAGCAGTAATTACAGATAATTAAACCCTGTCTCTAAACTTATGCTACTTCAGCAAACTGGAAATTCCAAAAAGGAGATGGATTTTTAAGAAGTTACATAATCAAAACAGGGATTGTTTTTTTTCTGTACATACATACATATATATTTATAGAGAGAGAGAGAGAGCGCGAGAGAGAGCGAGCGAGCGCGCGCGCAAGGCTCTAAAACCTGAGCTCAAAACAGCAAATACTACAAACGAACAAATGACTCCTTTATGCTCAAGACTGAAAATAAAGAGGGAAGTAAGCACTGAAATGTGGAAGTGGATCTCGTGTGATCTGCCAGAAAAACAAAAAGGCTCTCCACAGCAGAGAAGTGTCCAATTTCTCAGTTCTGCTTCCAGATCTGAACGCTGGCTTGGCCCTCCTAAAATAAAACTTGTTCCTTGCTATGCGGTAGGAGAGGAGCACACGCCACTTCCAAATGCTGACCTGCTGCCTGGCAGACACATTCATGCCTACCCAGACAGCCACGCATCTGCTCTAATTGTGCTCCGAGCTGACCAGACATAAACGCGCTCCAAATGGAAGGCCAAAATAACTCTTAGTGCAACAGTAACAGGGAGACTAATACAGCCAGGCCTCTCCGCACAGCTTAACAGATGAAGGTTAAGCGGTGAGCTAACATGCCTGCATGGCTTCCACACTAGTCTGGCTCACGGCGCGGGCAGAGCGCGGACACGAGACCTTCCACCCATCCAGACGGGCAGGCTGCTTTGGCTGGAAAGCAACAGGTACCAGGTGTTTAAATATTGCTTTAAGTGAAAGGAAAGTGAACGTCCAAATCTCATGCAATGAGACTGCATACAGCTCTCACCTTAATCTGGTAATAAGGTAGATTTTCAGGGGATAGGATAGAGCCATTAAGTGATAACAGGGTTAGCTGGGGTGCTACAGTTCAGATACCACAGGGCAGATTTTCTTGTACTGCAAATTGCTGCTGAAGTCCAACACTAACAGCTGCTGAGACTTTACACTGAACTCTTCTTCTCCATCCTGCTGTGCAAATGTAATACCAGCTTTACTTTTCAAATCTGGAGCTTAAATTTAAAGGGCATATTGTGCAAAATAATCCTGGAAAAATCTGTCATCTTTAGGTGATGGGAATGTTCTGTTTCAAAGATATTTGTTTAAAAGGCTTGAAAAATAATACGAGGATTTAATACCTACGTTTAAGTAACATCAAAGATAGATGTTCAGAGCGTGCAAACTACACATTGATACTCCTGAACACATGATAACCAAAGCCTGGGAGATCCAGTTCCCCTTAGCATGCAGTTCCAGGCAATAAAAACTAAGCCAAGTTTGGGTACAGTGAAAGATATCTGTTCATGATACACTAACCCAGTTGAACCACCTGCTGCTGTTCTTAAAAAAAAAAAAAAACACACTACCCCAGCTTTACTTCTGCACTCGAACTAAACATTCCTCTTTAGATTTAGTCCTGCTGTTTGAAGAGGCTTAAATTTCTCTACAGCTTTCAAAATAAGATTCGCAGGAGATATGGTGGCCTCTTTGCCGGTGCCCTGAGCCCAGGTCAAGCAAACTTTTAATTGCAGTGCTAGGACAGCAGAACGAATGGTGTCCACAGCCATTAGCAGAGAGAAAAGCCCTGGAAAACAGTAAGAAATACCAGGTATCAAAAACCTACTGGGAGGTGGAAGGAAAGCCAAAAACTTTTCCTGGGTAGGGCAGGGAGGGACCGTCTCAGAGATACAAAGGTTTCAGTTAAGCTTTTACATAGCTACATAAAATAAATCTCCAGAAAACTGAGCGTAGCTCATCACCTGTCCCACACCGTAATCTGATGCCTGAAAGTGGGTATATATTCCTGATGAATATCTTGAAATTTATGTTAAGAGAGGAGCTGGAATCTTTGATTCTCTGCGGGCATTGACAGGAATCATTTCCATTAAATTTTGTCTGGACAGAAAATATGCAAACTCTGACCTGTAATTTGCATGCAGAATGGGAAAAGGCCTGCTGAAAATTTAATACAGTGCTAGATTTATTGCTTTATTTCACTCAGAGAGCTCTTGATTGAAGAGGTAATTTATCAAAGTCAAGAACAGGATCTCAGTATCTTACCTGCACTTAAGAGACTTTCAACTAAATTTCTTCTAAATCAGAAATATTATATACCTCCTATAACGTACAACATTTGTCTTATGTACCTTGACTCCATCCAGAACAGCTTTTATGACACCCTTAACTGTTGTCACCATCTCCTTGTCTTCTGAATTCACACCTTCCAGCATCACTTGATCAGACCAGCGAATTAGATTGGCCAGACTCTGGTACACACGGCTATAGCAGGATGAGATGGCAGAACTGGATGGGAGGAGAGCAAATAGTTGGGAAGAAAACCCACAAAATAATAAAAGATAATAAATCATGCCGTCCCTAGTAATTTTTAAAGTGCATTTCAGACTGCTAAAAAAAAGATTAAAAATTTCATTGTATCCACTGTTGT